GTAGTGAGGGGAGCAGCGGCCCCGGGGGGGGCAACTGAGAGAGGACGGGGCGCCGGGGGGGGCAAGTGAGGGCGGCTGGGGCACCACGGGGACAGCTGGGGGGTCTGGGGCACCACAGAGGGAAACTGAGGGGGACTGGGGCACCACAGAGGGAAACTGAGGGCGTCTGGGGCAATTGAGGCAATTGAGGGTCACTGGGGCACCACAGAGGGAAACTGAGGGGGACTGGGGCACCACAGGGGCAGCTGAAGGGGTCTGAGGCACCACAGGGGCAGATGGGGGTGTCTGGGGCATCGTGGAGGTGTGGGAGTGGGGTCTGAGGGCAGTGTGGGTCAGCTGTGGGTCACGGGGTGCCAGCAGGCAGGCTGAGGGGAGGGCAGGGCACCGTGGGGGCAGCTGTGGGGCAGCCATGGGTCTCTGCCGGGGCCGTGGTGCTGTGGGGTGCGCCAGGAGCTGGGGGTGCGCAGGGTCCCTTCAGCCCCCCTCACTGCCTCCTCGTTCTCCCCATGCCCGACATCTTGAGAGACAAATGCAAAGTTAAGAGCAGGAAAAGTTGGATGGAATAGTAGGATTTTTAATTTTTTTTTTCTGGTAATTACCCAGCTTACTAGAATAAGAGTTTAATTTCAAAATAAAATTAGCTCGTTGCATAAAATGCTGTCGTAAACACTCCTGTGACCCAGGGATGGGGGCTAGGCACCAGGGTTTCTCCAACCAACTGCCTTCTTGGGAAATTTGTGGCTTTGCAGCTATTTTGAGGCAGGTCATGGCAACGTGGACTGGTGATGTGGCCCCATAAATCAGCAGGTGCTGCTGGAGAACCCTCTGTGCTGAAGGGCTCAGACCTCTGGGCCAGTGAAATCTGGTAGCTGCAGGAAGCACAGCGCTGTCCAAAACATGTAAAGGTGACCCTGGAGTTTTGCACAGGGTTGTTCTGTTGAACGGTTTTGGGGAGAACTGGAAAGCTCTTGGTTTTGCCCTCCTTGTGGGATAAACCTTAGGGAACATACAACTTGCCCTTAGGGAGTGTGATAAGCAAGGCCTCTGGCAAGGAGGTGTTGGGGAGAGGTTCAGCCTGCTCCGGGGACTGTGTGCTCCAGGCAGGGGAAGAGAATTTGCCTGCAGCCCCCAGAAACCTTAAAGCCAGCAGATCTTTCACTCCTTTCTCTTGCAGGGCATGTACCCTGTGGTCTGATCTGCCACCCTGATAAGGAGCACATTCTCTATCCCCTGGGATGTACTGTGGTTATTCAAGAGCTGGACAGTAAGCAGCAGACTTTCTTGCATGGTCACACCAATAATGTCTCCTGCGTCGTCGTGTCCAGGAATGGGCTGTACGTTGCTTCTGGACAAGTCACTTTCATGGGCTTTAAGGTGGATAATGCTCTATTTCTAACTACATAATACTGACCAAAGAAATTGGAGTTGGCTTGCCAGTGCTGGGAACACCTTTTGTCTATTTTTTATTTTGTTGGAAAACAACAAAAGAGGGAGGATGTTGCAGAAAATGGGAATCTGTGGCTAGTCCATTGCTGGATGTGCCTTCGTGTTTTTGTAAAGTGTTATGCCTTCTCCTTAAGACCGGGATAACTAGATTGAGCAGTCTCTTAATTATGGTCCTTTTTATCCAAAGTGCGCACATGTGGCAGCCTAAATTTCATTACATTAATTAATAGAGGGTGTATTTAAAGTGGTACCTGAGTTCCCGAGCTGCTTGGGACTTTCAAAAGCCCTTGACAGGTACTTACCTGCATTTTTAGACCTCTAAAGTTCTTTATGGTTTCATTTTTTTCCTATTTGAAAAGACCCTGAGACATCTGGAAGGAAGCAAGTATTAGTGGTTTCAGGGTAAATTTTGATTCTGAAATGAAGTAAAGCTATTCAAGCAGTAAGATGGAATAATGCTTCTTGCAGCACCTAATTTGAAGCAGTTTTGTGTCAGTGGAGTGCTGGCCTGGGTAGAAGCTAACCTCAGGCTGGGCTCCTTCTAACAGCTTTCCTGCCTTTTTATACCTAATCCTGTGTGTTATATCTAATGCTCTGGCTTTGACCCCTCTGCTTTGCACCTCAGGCAGACATAATTCTGTGGGATTTCCAGAGGAAGGAGTTACTTGCTCGGCTGTCACTTCACAAGGGTAAAATTGAAGGACTAGCGTTTTCTGCAAACAGCCTTTATCTCCTGTCACTGGGAGGCCAGGATGATGGCAGGTAATGATTTCCACTTCTTGCCACACAATTTCCTACAAGGTGTAAGGCTTTGAAGAATGGGCTTAGGGAGTACTCGCTCCTCCCTCTTCTGGCAGTCTGACCCTTGCTCCTGCTGGACGTCTCTCCTCAGCGATCCCACTCTGTCCGATGGAAGCTGGTTGGGGACCGTGGGCAGGGCACAGGGCATGGGGGAGGATGAAGGCAGCAGCTAATTCTTACACTGGTGTCATCACCCAGAAACCTCATGAAGCCTGCACAGCTGGGTGGCTTAATGCACTGCCCTGACAAAGTATAAATTTTACCAAGGGCTTGCTTTGACACACAGACAAGTACCAGTGGAATAAAAAGTTCTTTTAAATCAGATTTTATGCGTGGCCTAAGATGTGATTTGAGTCTTGCTCAGCAGAAGGGATCTAAGAAATACAACCCCCTTTAGTTTAGGAGCAGGGGATGTAAACTGCAATTCCACACACTTGTGATAAGCTTGTCTTGGGTGAAATCTCTATGAAGTGACTTTTATGTGTATCCTGTTGGGAACAAACTGCAGGAAAATGTTTCATCTTGCTTTTGTTTTTAAGTAATATCAAAAAGTGAAGCTGTTTAAAGCCTCTCCTTCTCCTGCAGCGTGGTTGTGTGGCATATTGATAAGAGAGAGGCTGTCTGCGGGAGCCCTGCCTCGGCATGCAGCGCGGGCAGTGCGACGGTCGTGGTGTGCTCCAGCTGCAGAGACGAGATGTTTGTCACTGCTGGAAAGTAAGGCTTTATTTAAATGAAAGACCTGTTTCCTTTTACAAAGAGTCTTTACTCAAATACAAGGAAACTTAAGCAACTGTGTGCTTGTGTTTTTTCTTTTTGCTCTGAATGGACCCACGA